TTAACATTGGCCTACCACTTGTACTAATAAAGTGCCAAGGGCCTAAGTGGTCACCTTAATATTTAAAAAAAAAAAAACAATCAATTTTGGGTACATTTTAGGCCTATCAAAAAACGATACTTTCGGGCGATCACCAAAAGTACAGGGCACATAAGACGCCACAGCCACAGCATAATTTCTTTGAATCGTCTACGTAGCTCTTGCATACAGCTTTACGTACTGTTGTGAAAACGAGGCAACATACTACTGGTTATTAAGATATGGCTGTGGCTTCTTATTATGTGTCCGTGGCACGTACCGATACGTAAATCAACCTTCAAAAAATCCAAACATAATGAACATCATGTTTTGATTAATTAGTCGTTCAGGAACAAAATCGAATTTGTAAACTAAGTGCGTAAGAATAGAGGCCTAGGGTTAGGGCATTAGGGTCATGAGCTTTAGCGATAGTTTTGTGCTTATTATATGTAAAATTTCATCATTTTTAATTACTGGTCATTAGTTTGAGTATTCTCGCTTTTTTTACTCGCTAACTGGATAGTAATTATATCACATGATTACACGCGCATTGTAGTACAAAAACGTGTCAATATTAATATAAACATTATGTAGATACTAATATTCTTTGATGTTGAACCGCAAACACGAATTTTACAAGTTCTTACTTTAAATATGCCAGCTTGGAGGGTAGGTAACTATTTGATTCTAACTTGTTGCTGTAATAAAATTATATCTAATATACATATATTTTTTTCTCTTGTGTAAAGACATATTTTACCAATGTACCGCCTACTGTGAAAACTTTGACTTTTTCTATAGTTTTCGTCTCGGCACTTGGGGCTTTAAAGAGATTTCACAGATGGACTGAAAATCCTTTCGCCACAAATGTTTTGCCTAATTTTGCATTGGTTCCAGGCCATGCAATACAAAATTTTTGGACATTTTTTACAGCAGGTTTCTTAGAAACTAACCCTGCGTCAGTAAGTAATTATAAAATTTTTCCTATCCACATAATATATAGATCAAACTCAAAATGTTACGTTAATTTTAGTTAATAGGAAGCATCATTGCGATGGTCGCATGTGGGAAATATTTAGAAAGAGCCTGGGGATCAAAAGATTTTTTGAAATTTGTTGGAATAATTCTTATTGGGGTTACTTTGTCAACCTATTTTACATACTTATTGGAATATGTTATTACTGGTGATGAACATTATTTGTACGTACTACATCATACACTAAGCATTCTTAAATGCGTTTTATTTTATTTTCATTTTATTTATTTTTTTGTTGTAGGAGTATAAATTCATCCTTGATTTACATTACAGGTTTGAAGTAGAGGCGAATGGAATGATTGGTGTTATATGTGGATTTTTAGTTGCATTAAAGCAACTTGTACCCGAACATTTGGTCCGAATTCCATTATCAATTCGCATCAAGGTAAAATACATTAAGTCTAATCGAGCCATTTTATAAATCAAACAATTGCTATACTAAAAATTAAATGATTATCTATTCATTTAAAAAATAAAGCACTTTCCCGGCATATTTGTCATATGGAGTTTTGCTTATTTTCTTATATTCGATGCACAATCGCAATTTTTATTTGTAATATATGGATGGCTCATATCTTGGACATACATTAGATTTTTCAAAATGCAAGATGGGTTACGTGGAGATCGTAGTGAAACCTTTTCAATGGCTAGTTTTTTCCCAGAATTCATTCAGTACGTAGTTCAATGTTGTCTTTCTTTTTTTTTTTTTTTGGCAAAAATCTGAATTTGCTTTTCCATTTTGTTAATAGACCACCTATAAAAATAATCTCAAAATTGGTATTCAATATATTAGTTTTGCTAAGATGTTGTAAACCAATAAAAAAAAGACGATTTGCTTTGGATTTGGAAAGTTCTTTTCATGTTAGTGCGCCTCCTATGCCAGGAAGTGCGAGAGCTGAAGCCGAAAGGCGAAGGTAAGAACCGTTTAATATTTGCATTTTTAATGATGATATTTTGACATCATACATTAATGTTAACCGATATTTTAAATATAGAGCATTAGCACTTAAAGCATTGGACAAACGTTTACATTCAACAAATAATAAGCCAAACTATAATCCTGCATTCCCCTTTCCATTTTTATCACCAGATTCAAAACGTTCAACGGGTGAAACTACCCAAATTTCAACAACAAATAATAATTCAAAAACTCCTAATGATTCATCATCGAATTTTGGGTCTGTAACACCCGGTGTATCTTCTGATCCGGTTTTGTTTGATGTAAAAGAACATTTGGATGAAAAAGATTTATAATTATTTTGAAATCAAAAAATGGAAGGATATTGTAAAAAAAAAAGGGGGGGAAATTATGTACTTAATTTTTACTTTTTGATATTACATTTATCTTTGCCTTTGATATTTATTGTCATTTGATGTAATATATATTTTTTATTTTATTCTTTAGAAAAAGAGAGATCAAATGATTATAAAATTAGTACTGCAAAACATAGAAAAATTAATCTGTAATCATTATAATACCCATGTGCATTCCACTTGTAATTATACACTTCCTTTCCAAACCGAATTTACGCACTATATATATAATAACACAAATATATTATATAAATTTAAAATCATGTTCAACCATTAAAAAAAGTCCATTATATTATCGAGTTGGTGATAAAGTTATACTGAGGAAGAATTTTGTTCTTCATTTGGTACAGATTGTGAATTCTCATTGTCATCAAAAATAATGAGATTATTTGAAGGAATATCTACAGATATATCAGTTGATGTTGTACGATCAGAGTTCTGTGAATTAATAAACTCATCAAGATCGTTGAACGATGGACCAATTTTATTCAACACATGAGAGGCACGTTTTTTAATATCGTCATCTTTTACAGTATCCAATATACGATTGATTAATGGAATACAAGGTGTGAGTTTAGATAGTGAAACTGACGGGACTGAAAATAAAAAATAAGTGAATTTTTAATTGCAAAAAATATAAATTTGGTATAAAAGTATAAAATACCTTCCGTCGAAAGGTTATCAAGCGCGCGTATAATATGGCGTTGAATTTCAACATCAGATACTGGAGAATCACCGATAGCTATAAGCGCTTGAATGACGCCTTCCCAAGATTCTTCAGTCTGGCTCGTTTCATGGTCTTCAATCGCTATGATTTGATATGACAACATACGCGCCTTGTTTTCCTCTAAATTAAAATTAACAATTATCTTATGACTCAAATAATAACATTATCATAGCCTAAAACTCATTTACCATATAATGCAAAATTGGCCAATAATCTCGCTACGTGCCTATAAATGAAGATGATTATAATTTTGTAATAAAATCTAGAAAAATAGAGCCAAAATAGAGCCAAATTTAAATTTATAAACCTCTGTATTTCTCTGTCGGTGAGAAAATAACCGACCATTCGACATAAATTAGATAATAATAAAGGTTGATGAATCAAAAGTTGCTGTGATTCAGCTGTTAAGATATAAAATGGTTATGCGTTAAAAATACATATATATTGTGTGTACCATTGTAAAATATGTAAAGTGAATATGATTATTACCATTTGTTGCTAAATTAGCCTAAATTACAATATTAACGCATTTGAGGTATTAGTAACAACTCGATAAATTAGAGATCGGACTTGGTATATAATAATTTACTCAAGTAATGTAATAATATCTGAGTAGAAATTATTCAACGGGTCCAACCCCTATGGTAAATGGATCTCTCGCAATATAGGCGATACCGTTGATTATAACTGTATAAAGTAGTGTCACCTATACTGCAAGAGATCCCAATAAAAACAAAATATCAGTATATCCGCATACCATTGCGCAACAAGCGTGAGATATTGCTACTTGATTATCTTTTAGCAGTTGTTCATCTTCAAGATTAATTACAGATGTCAATAATTCTGCACGACCGTCTTTAATTAAAATAGATTTATACTTATCTATAAAAATAAATAAATAAATAAATAAATTGTGATTTTCAATATATATATATATAAAATGTAACAACTAAACATACCGTTTCTGAGCGATAAGTATGCAATTGATTTTGCAGCATATTTCCGCACTTCATAAATGTTTGAATGCAATAAACGCATCAAACGATCCAATCCATCTAAGGGATACTCGATAATAAGTAGCTGATGAGATGCTAATAAAAAATAATTAAATAATTATAAATTAAAATAAATATTATTATGAGTTATAAATAATTTTCGATTAGAAATAACTAATAAAATATTGACAAATAATTACGATATGTAGAAAGGCATGAAATGGTTTTTGATGCAAGACTACGAATTAATTCAATACGAAGACGTATTTCTTCATAAGAAGGAAGTGAATCATCTTCAGATGAATCATCATCGTATAATGTTCCTAGTTGGAAATCTGCCAATTTTAGAATAGCATCCAAAGCTATATCATCAGTTAACATCTGTTGGCATAAAGATCCTAAGTATACAATATGAAATGTCGTCAGGATCCGACAGTTAATAAGTTTACATTGTAGCCTTCAAAAGACTAACCTGAGATTGACAAGTAATATAATATATTCGCAATATTTAAAATAATATTCGAAACGGAATCCAAAAATTTTAAAGTATCTGATAAATCTAATGTTTCTGATTCTGTTTTATTATAATACAACAGAATGAGATGATACAAATGTGGAAGACTTCCTTTCGCAATAATGTAAGATTTAAATGATTCTAAAAAAGGAAAAAAAAAATGTAACCAGTTATAATGTAAATCAAATAAGGGGAAGAAAAAATATAATGCAATAAACTAACCGTTTCCAGCAAGGCTAGCCAATGCTGTTGTTCCTAATAAATGAAGGTCGCATGACTGAGTGGCTCGGCACAGATATACTAACGCGTCTAATCCACCATTAGTGATGAGATAAAATATTTCTTGCTCTGTTTAAAAATAAACAAATTTATTTGTTGTTTTCCACTATCAAACGAAATAGTTTCACGCGTAATTATTTACCATTCCCGCGTTCGACAATGTCAAGTAACCCTCGAGCACCGTGTGTCTATTTCATCGTTATGGTTTTGATTTGTAAAAAAAAAATCATAAAGTTTTATTATTACGCATATATATGTAATGGATATGTAATAGATTAATCAATTACAAAAAATCACCTGGGTCGATTTGTCATTTGAAATAACATATCCAACAAGATATGCAATTTCAAAACATCCACTACAAACGCGTTCTGGTTTTAAATAACCTAATTGAGGTAATGCAATGTTTTTTGAAGTACATTCTTGACAGAATATGTTCCCACTAAAAGATAATGAACATATTAGGCCAATGATAATTGAAAATTAATGCCCACTTAAATTTTTGATAATGGCTTACCATTGACGACAATGATGCTAATTGATCAAAAATAAGTGACAACAGGTGCTTTAATGAGGTTAATTAAATCATTAATAGCTCAAGGGACAAAACAAACAGCTAGTTGCCATTATTAGCGAGACTATATGTTATGTCACTTTGTAATGAAGATTCCTCTTGCTTTATAAACATGGTAAAAAATTGAATATGTCAACAGATTAATGGAGAAAATGCGCTGGTAATTACTTTTCGTCTTAGAGGAGTAAAAGACGTTTCGCAGCCTTTGCAAACTTTGACTGTCTCATCGTCAACCCATACAGGCCGTACCAAAATGAAACCGTCCAAAACGTCACTTTCGTGAGCCCTTTGAGAGAATTGTTTAGTAGACATCGAAGATGAAAAGCGAAAATGTATAATATACAGTACTGTATATAATTTATCATACATAATCACGTGATAATAGACCAATAAAATAGAAAGATCACTTTAACGCACAGACTGTATATGCTATGAATACAGTTCTGTAGTAATAGCATACATATATCTGCCTGGCCATTTTCATATTACGTATATATATTTTTAATTAATTCTACGTAGTTTTTGCCATTAAGAGTTCAAATGAATTATTCAAGTTTGTAGAATCTTTTACACCCCTTTATCGTTATTAACCCATACCCGGGTGACTGTCATGAAGATCATTCAGTAACGTGGTATATTATATAAAATGTCACTCCAAAATGGTAATTGTCAATAAATATGACGTGAGTAAAAATAAATACTTTATTTTCATTATTCTAATAAAGAATGTGTAACTATTAATAGCCAAAAATCATCGAATGTTCGACCTACAAATTTGCACTAGAAAATAAAATAAAATAAAATAAAAAAAAGAGAATGAAAAAAAAAGGTTTAAATTATTTATTCCTCAAGCGATAACACAGCTATTTTGTCCATCGCCATCTGGATTAAGATTCTTTTCAATTTCATTTATCATGAGTTCAAAAATACGAGCTAAAAAAATGAATTACAAGTATTATATTTGAAACCAGAATTAAACAATTAAAGCTAGCAAATGAACTTACTTATATTTTCATTATGTTTTGCAGATGCTTCAGTCCATGCGCAATGCCATTGTGAAGCCAATTCTCTACCTTCTTCAGGAGTCAATTGTCTTAACAGTAAAAGAAATAAAATTGCAGAGAATTGAATAAGAGAGTTAAAAAATTCTTAATGTTTATTTATCTATAATTACCTTTGCAGATGTAAATCCGTTTTGTTACCGACAAGAACAATCGGAACAGCCTCTCTTCCTGTAAAATTCAGAATTTTTTCCCTAATAATCTTTACCATCTCGAAGCTTTGTTTAGAAGTAATTGAGTATACTAAAATATATCCATGTATTCCGACGCCATGTGTAGAATTCAAGATTGAATGTTCATCCTAAATTAAAAAAAGATTTGGATTCAATTCAACTTGCTAACAAGAAATGAACTAAGTAAAATTACTAGTAAAATATAAATGTAATTACCTGACCTGCAGTATCAATGATTTCTGCAGCGATCTCTTGTCCTCTATATCTTATAACTTTATTAAAAGTATTCTCGATGGTAGGATAATAAGAATCAACAAAATAGTTTTCCACAAATTGAATTGTCAACGAGGATTTACCTTTGGGAAGAAGCCAGTTGAGTAACAACGGTAAAATCTAATATTTAGAAAGGTAAATAGAGAAATGTTTACTTGCCTACGGCACGAGAGCCTAAAACGGCGATGGTCCTTGTTTTCGGTGCGTTGCCAGACATCGTTCAATATACAGAATATACAGGCAACGTTTTTTTAAATATGTGCTATCTTTATCAATTTATATAATTTACCTGTAATATTTTTTTAGTTTTCACGTGTTTACAGTCACACAAAATCTAGATTATGCTGTTAACTTGGATTGGTCAGCATCAACCACTTTTAAACTTATACAACTTAAAATTATATGCTCTTAAGAAACTGCAACGAATTATAGCTCTAGAAGGACGAGTGCATAAAAAAACGTATGTCATTATTACATCTTTTATCATACGGGGCAGCACTGCTCGCGTTCTTGTTTGTCGTACTAAGCTTAGGTACCAAGCACATTTATTGTTGATTTTTCTTAAATTCTGGCGGATGGCCTTGTCTAAATTCATTTTAAATTATAAAATTGTATATAGCATGTGGGCTCTACTATTTAGGTATGATTAATGATACACGCGTTTTTATTTTAATTTTGTCGAGAATTATTTATTGGATAACCATTCCTTTCTTTCAGCTGAATTTGTTGAAGAATATACTGTATTAACAAGAAAGATTATTAAAAATGCCACTGGAGTATGTATGATTGTTATTGCTTTATTAGCTATTGGGAAAGTACTAATTAGCTCATTGAAAACTTTACCAGGTTGTTGTAGCAATTCATATTCTTCTATGGATGTTTGATGGATTTCCATTTTGGAGAATTATCTTCTCGGTGATGTGCCATGGCGTATACACACTAAATTTAAAAACCTTTCCATTCATAAGTTTGACAAGCATACAGTTCATTGCAAGTTGTGGTTTGTAGCAAACTCAATCAAAGTTATAAGTGACCTTCTTTTCCTTTTTGCTCGGGATTAGTAATCATTAATTCTGTTGTTATTTCACATAGTGCTCGTGCTGATCGATCATTTTCTTTGGTTTCAATTCTTCACCTCGCGTTATTTTGTATTCATGGATATCGCCGCATTTTTTGGCATATGCGTTTGGTTGATTCCTTTTGCCTACTTTATTTCCCTAAGTGCTAACGACAATGCTTTACCATCTTATGGTTTGTATATTAATTTATTAATTGTATGTGTAAATTTATGATCGATCTAAACATTCTCATATGCTTTTTTTAATTTTCAATTTCAGATCCAAATATACATAATACCGACTTTGCCCTCGTGCGAAATAAAGGAGGAATCCTAAAAAATTTGTTGAATTTCGTCCTACAAAAGAAGGATGAATTGATTCCGATGGTTTCAGATGTTTCATCTTCTGCTTTACATTCACGGAAGAGCTTATAATCATTTGTATTGATGTTGGATTTTATTACCACAATCTCCCATTGGATTGTACAAAAGCAGTTATCATGTGACCAGATATTTTAATACATCGTACTACGATAGCGGTAGTACTTTTTGGTCGAGAGAAAAATATTGCAGTAAATTGTAAGAATTGTTTCATGTAATATATGATAATAATAATAATAATATAATAATAATAATTAAAGGGTAGATAATAATATCTTTTATAATCATGAAATCGAGTTATTATCTCACATTAATACAAATGATACATTGGCACATAATTCTGGGAAGTTTTTAAGAACGTTTAAAATTGTCGACAGATGCTTGTGAAGATAAAGTTTCACTGTTATCATTTGGTATCAAAGGATTTGTATTTGGATATTTTTCTTCCAAAATTTTTGCTAGATGGTCGCCAGCTAAGGCGAATACTATTCCACCTGATTATAAAGTAGAATCATGAGTACATAAAAAATTAGCAGTTTATTAATTTGAATGAATTTATATGCACAAACCTAACCCAAGATAAATGCGTGTACGCCTTGGTAACGATTTGAAAGATTGCCAGAATGATTTAACATTTTGTTGTGGCATCGGGGAATAATTGGAAATTTTTAAGCAATGGTTTCATGTAAATAAATATACTAAAAAATTAGAATTGTGTGATTGGCTCCACATCCTGAGAATGGTCGTTACACGAACCATTTACTTTATATTCTGATATGAATTTTTCTTCGTACAACAATGAATTGCTCTTTCTAGAAATTAACTAATAGTTATACCCTGTCACTATATCAAGATCGCAGGACATAACTGATTTATGCCCTGCGATCTTGATATAGTGACCAGGGTATAAACTAATTAATGGATAGGAGCACACCTTTTGTACTACCGGTAGTACAGTTTTAATAATTTTTAATAAAATTATTTATTTAATATTCTAGTTTAATTTTATTGAAATTATTTCAAAGTTAATAATTAATTTATTTTAATTAATCTATTTTTTAAAATTTTAATATACTCTACTGTATATAGTATACTTTTTAAAATCTTCACAAAATTATTAAATTTTTTTATTTATCATCTATGCATGTATCGCATGCATGCTTGATCAACATAAAGGTTGATCTAGCTTATTTTTTTTGTGTTTTTGTATTTTCTATTTCTTACTAATGCTTTTGGTTTATTTTTTGTAACTTTTGATATTATATTGTTATCTTTTTGAAGTTATTTCTTTTAAAGTTGTTATTTTAGAGTTTTTTTATTGTTTTTTATATTTGTTGTGATTTGTAGTTGCTGTTGATTTCATGTTGCTTTAAAAGTTGTCTTTTGAAGTTATTATTTTATTTTATTTTATTTTTTTTAACTTTAACTATTTATTTTGTTTTTATTTTTTTAGAAGTACAGTGTGGGATAGCAAGAGACATTCAATATCTATTAATAAAAACTTTAAAGTGTTATAACTTTTTTAAAACAAGCTATATCATAAAACCCTTTGACAAATTGTTAGATTTTTAGATAAACTACATTTCTGTCAGAGGATTTATTTTTATTCTTTGTTTAAAAAAGTTATAAGAAATTAAAGTTTATCTGAGTTCAAAAAATTGGCGTTTAATATAAAAAAAAGAAAACATATATAGATTTTTAACCAATCAAAATCAATTACTCAAAAATTAGCCAATCAAAATTGATTATATAAGCACCAAAAATTGGTGCCTATATGTATAGATTGGATGTCTCTTGCTGTCCCATACTGTATATATACTAAAATATATCAAACAAAAACTTTGCAACAACTAAATATCTTCAACTCTTCTACTTTTAAAATAAAAACTCACTTAGCTACTTGCAAAAGTGCTCAAGTACAATTTGCCACAGCAATATAAACTCTTATTTTTAGTATTTAGCTTGCTAGACAATTATTTATTAAATTACTACTAGCTTTGTCAAGATTGTCTTTTTTCTTAATATTTTTTTTTTTAAAAAAGATACTTAAACAAATAGAAGAAATACAAAAAAAAATAAAAGAATATAATTAGCAAAGAAGAAAAAACAAAAAACAAAAAAAAACAAAAACAAATATACAAAAAAGAGAAAACAAAAAAAATAAAAATAAAAATAATAATAAAAATATCAAAAAATTTAGCCTAAATTAATCTAGCTATAGTACTATTATTATTCATGCTAAATATTTTTTTATTTTTTAACAGATCTTGCTATGACTTGATCTCTTAGTTTATACAATAGTATATTTAATCTATATATATTTATTTCTAAAACTAATTAAAAGCCTAACTTCACCAGATTATCTCAGATGCAACCTATTGAACTAGCTTACAAATAAACTAAAAAAAAGCTCTTTTTATAAGCTTGTTCAAAAGGGTTTATACTCTTTTGTATCCAATTTAAAATAGTATCATTTTATATTTTTTGTATATTTTTTTTTTTTGTTGAAGCTTTGTCTCTTTTGGCTTTATTAATTTTCTTTTTATCTTTAGAGTTGGGTGATGTGTTTTTCTTTGGCTTTAAATTCTTTTCACTCACTTCTCTTTTATTCTTCTTTTTTATATTTTGTTTCTCTTTTTATTCAACCACTTTAATACATTTGTCTTTCTATATAAAATCATAAAATCTATTTTAAATTATATGTATAGCAAGTTCTATTGTACATGTGGTCGTTTTTAATGAATAAAGAAATTCTTGATTGTATCAAATAAGTTAAGCCTTTAATTCATAGTCTTCTTTTTTTTTTTTTTTTTTTTTTTTTTTTTTTTCTTTAACCATTTTGGCAGTCTTGCTATATACTTTATTAGGCTATCATAACTTTTTACATTATACAATATAAATTTATATGACTTTTACAAAAGGCTAACTCTTTTGATACCTAGATTACAAGTACTGGCTTATTTGATTATCTTTTGGACACCTATATGCAACCTGCTATAAGCAAAACGTACCTCCACAATACCTTTTCCTGTAACTGAAAGAAATATAATATCACTGAATAGATCCTACTGGCCCGTTAAGACTACCTTCCCTTCTTTCAGACTTCTTCCACCTAAGCCCAACAACATAATTAAAACTCTTATTCATACATAAAAGTAAAAAAAATAAAGCCATGTTTATAAAAGATCTAAACATTTTAGAAAAAAAAATGTCTTACGACAGTAAAAAAAACATAAACAAGAAACCAAATTTTAAAATAATCTAACATAAATGAACAAAGATGAAAAAAGCGAAAAAAGGAAAGATAGTCTTGACACACTATTATAACCTGTGCCAGGTATAAAGGTAAAAATTATATACTAATTGCAACTAAAAGTATATTTCAATTGTAAAGCCTTCGACTTAATCAATTCAACTCAATCCAGGCACTGACTCAACTTGGGTATCTTCTAAACAGGGGTGACAATCTCTTCCCTGTACCATAGCACCGTATTGATCATCAAAACAAACACGTGGTTGCAATCCACTAAGTTCATCTAAATCCAAATTCGGTTGGTGTAAACAATGCCAATCTTTTGTAGGGGGTGAGCCAAAATGCTTACTTTTTTTCAAAAATTATAGTAAAAGAGGCAAAAAGTGGGAGGGAGAAAAAAGAACACTTGAAAGTACCAAAAGAGCATAGATATTTCTTTTACAGAAGTAGGACCTTCCACCCAAGCCCTGCATAGTACTCAGTCTTTTTGGTAAGTGATAAACTCTGAACTTGTCAACAGGAAGTGTATGAGAACTACTTCTAAACGACAAGTACTGTGCTGAATTAAGTTTTTAGATCTTCTTTTTTCTTATATATCAGCTTCTGATTTACTTATTAGTATTCTGTGAAGAAGGTGCTTTGGACAATGATATTTTTTCTTCTATAAATCTGAACTATACAAAATCAATTGCTATACTTTTAATATTTAGCTATATTATTTTATAGTAAAAGCACTCAGCCAAGTGATTCTGTGTTTCTAAAATACTAATATTATATACTAAACAATTATCACTTGTATAAATATCTGGCTTTTTTGTCACAAGAGTTCTGAGTATTGGTAAATTTTCTAAAAGATATTTTAGCTGCATTGTAAGTTTTTTGCTTTTTTGCAAAATATTATATTTTAACTTTTTTATTTTTTTCTAGTATATATGCTAATCTAACTTGAAATTGTTCATTTCAGATTCTAAAACTAGAATTGACTTTGTTAATCTTCAAAAATCTTTTTTAAAAATAGTCTGATCACTTTTTTGATTTTATATTTATCTCAAAACAAAGGAGAGAAAATTCATGTATTAAGATCTGTAATAAATATCTGTAAGTTGCACTAGTATTGTAGCCTTTTTGCTAGTATATCTGCTTTGTTATTCTATTTATAATTTTTAATTTTTTTGAATTTTAAATTAATTTTTTTCACTTTAGTAAGGTTTGTGATTTTGATTAGAATATTACAATTCTTTTCTTTAAAAATTCTATTAAATCTCTATTTACTTTTAATCTTGTTAATACTAGTTATATTATCTAAATATATGCAAATATTAAAGGAGAATCATTTATCACCTGATTTTTAGAATAGAAGAGGAGAGTTAGAAAAACATTAAGTTCTAATATAATAATAGCTTTTGATTAGTTAAAATTATTAAGATTTTAAAAAATTTTAACCTTTAATACTAAATAACTTTTAATCTAGTAGCCCGTTTTGAATAATTTTACTACCAAAATGTCCATCTTAATAATACAATTTTAACAAGCCCAAAATCATTAAAATCCAATTATACAATCCTGAAATCGTTATAGATCTGTATTACTTTTTACTGTATATATATACGAACCTATTTGTAACTGGTGATGATAGTTCTTAATTATGTGCAGCCAATCAAATTGATATATAATAAAAACAAATCAGCCTCAGAAAATTAACTCGATTGGATCTCACAAAACCAAACAAATTAATACTGTAGTTAATATTTTTATGATATAATTATTTACAAAATTATAATATTATAATAACTTCATAAATCTATATGCTTAAGCAAATATTTCTTTATTAATCAAAATTAAAGAAAAAAATAAAAAATATCTAATTGCTAATATTAACTACTAATCAACTATATATTAATAACCAGAACTACAAACCAATTCAAATACTTACTAATGACCAACTACTGTATGTTTTTAAAATTAAGCTATCTTTAAAAGAAGCCATTCTTCTTTCTTTTTAAAAAAAAATATAAAAACACCTTAGTTTCAAAAATAAGCTACCTACCCCTATTAGCTGCAAGTAATTGCTATATATAGAAGTTAAAATTCTACTAAGTAAATTGACAAAAGTCACTTAATTGATAATTCTCCAAAATAAATATAGTTCAGTTTATTATATAAATCTAATATACTAGCACAACTCTTTCCGATGATTATTTGTCTCAAATTTTTCTAAAATTTTTTTTTAATAAATACATTATAGCTAGTTGAAAAAATAATAAATAAAATAAGTCAGGAACTCCAGTATCTGTTATTTAGAGATAGTTCTTATATGCTACTTGCTAACAGGTTTAGAGTTTATTACTTACTGCAGTAATGGTGAACACTTGTCATTTAGAAGTAGTTCTCATAC